GATGCGACCCTCTCAACTCCCAGGCCCCGAGATTCATATGAATGACTGAAAAGATGGGGAAACCTCCAAGTCACCTACTCCATTTTCTTGGTTCTGGGAAGAGCTGGTAAACCAGATGACCTTGGCCCCCCCCCAAAGGAGACCTGCAGAGCCCATCCTCTCTGAGGAGGGGAGAGGAGATTAGTGACGTGACAGAGAGACAGGGACACTGAGCTCACTGTTTGGACCCGGACTAAGAATCTCCAGATGGTGGACACCTGTGGGTCATCTGAGGGTCCCCCGCCTTCCTGCCCACAATGAGGCTCAGATCCCTGAGGAGGGCGGAGGCTGGGAATCCTCCCAGGGGAGGGAAGAGGTGGCTCAGAGCCCAGCACCAGCCCTAGACATCTGACTCCATCTGATTCTGTCCTATTGGCCTGACATCATTGGGGTCAAGGGAAAGTAGAGAATGAAGCCTGTCCACCTGAACACTGGACCCAGGGAAGACACGGACATTGCCCCCTCCTTCCTACTTACAACTTCTCAGTCAAGCCCTAGGGTCATGAATGCTGTAACTGGACCCCTTCCCGTAGACAGAAATTGATTTTATATCAGAGCACAAATCGGAGTTGGAGGAAATCTGGTCCAAATAGATAAGATTTTGGATGAGAGAAATTGAAAATTCAAGAGTGGGACATGATTCAACATTACAATTATATGCGAACACCTGAAAAATGCTTGAGATGTCTTTGAATAAAAACTTCTTGGCACGACAACATCAAAAAAACAATCAATCGAATTAAAAAATGATCAGAGGACCCAAATAGACATTGTTCCAAAGAGGACATACAGATGACCAAAAGACATACGAAAAGATGCTCACTGGCACGACAACACCAAAAAAACCCAATCAATCGAATTAAAAAATGATCAGAGGACCCGAATAGACATTGTTCCAAAGAGGACGTACAGATGACCAATAGACATACGAAAAGATGCTCAACATTACTCATCGTCAGAGAAATGCAAATTAAAACCACAGTGAAATATCACCTCACACCTGTCAGAATAACATCATCAATAAATCAGCAAAAAACAAGTGTTGGTGAGGATGTGGAGAAAAGGGAAGCCTTGTGCACTGCTGGTGGGACTGCAAATTGGTGCAGCCACTATGGAAAACAGTATGGAGGTTCCTCAAAAAGTTAAAAATAGGACCACCTGTGACCCAGCAATTCCACTTCTGGGTATTTGTCCAGAGAAATACAAAACACTAATTTGAAAAGATATATGCATCCTTATGTTCATTGCAGCATTATTTACAATAGCCAAGATATGAAAGCACCCTTAGTGTCCCTCAATAAACGAATGGAGGAAGAAAAGGTGAGACATATATAAAATGGAATATTCCTCGGCCATAAAAAGAATGAAATCTTACCATTTGCAATCTTACCAGTGCAACACGGATGGACATGAAGGACATAATGCCAAGTAAAATAAGAGAAAGGCAAATCCCATATGATCTGAATTATATGTGGAATCTTTAAAACAAAATAAACGAACAAACAAAACAGAAAGATTCACAAATACAGAGAACAAACTGATAGATGCCAATGGGAGGGAGATTTGGGGGCTGAGTGAAAAGGCGAGAAGAATAAGAAATACAAATTGGCAGTTACAAAAGGGTCTCGGGGATGTGAAGTATCGCAAAGGAATATAGTCAATAGTATGGGAAGAACTATGAGTAGTGCCGGGGGGGTACTGGACTTGTTGAGGGGAGCACTTATAAGTTATTTAAATCTCCAATCACTCTGCTGTACACCTGAAACTCATGGAGTATTGCACGTCAACTGTAATTGATAAGAATTTAAATTCAAAAAAAGTACGTGGCCTTTTCATCTACACTTCCCTCCTGGTCCACCAGAGGGCGGCAGAGCTATGCAGTCTCCTGGAGCCTCCCTGGGGTCCGCAGCCCAGCAGGGGCTGACCCGCACCAGCCTCACTCAGGCCACAATCCTCCTCCCTCTCCCTGCTGCCCAACTGGACTCCCTCACCTAATCCATCCAGTGCAGCACCTGCCCGCTAAGGCCAGTCCTCTGCAGGACACTCCTCCTCCACCACCTCTGTCCTTCAAGGGACGAATGGCCACTCATGGCCACTCCCGCCTCAGGTCTCGGCCAAGAGACCACTTTCTCAGAAGTGCTCTCTGTGATCCCCAGATCAGCTGAGACTCCACCACACGCAGCAGACATTGTCCCTTCATGGCCCTGCTCTCGATGATGATTAACTATTTAGAGCCCTGATTTCTCAGAGCGCCTGTCTCTGTTGCAAGTAAATTCCGTGAGTGCAGACCCCACGTGTGTCCTGTGCTCTGTACAGGTTTTAGGGCCCAGTCCAGGGCCGGAACCGTCATGAACACTCAGTAAACACGTATTGACAAATGAGGAAACCACAGCATGGAAGCAGGTCTCCTGCCCCTGTGACACCTGGGGTCAGACCATGCTCCTTACAGACACGAGGACCCTGGTGTCAGCGTGGGGGGAGGCCAACGAGAGGCCTCGGCTGTCCCAGGGATGGGCCGTTACCCCTGATAGAGTCAGGAGGGGGACAGGGAGCCCCTAACAGTGAGAGTTGGACCTCCGTTCGCTCCCCGAATACCACAGTCTCCCCGTCTGACCTTAGGAGGGACGTCTCCTCTCCCGGGGAGAAGGGGAGACCCTGGGTGGCAGCCTGTGTCCTTCCTCTTCCCACGGAGACCTGACCTGGCACAAACTCTGCAGCCTTTGTCTCAGGTGGACTCACCACTAGGCACCAAGGGGGCCCCCTCGGATATCAAAGGAAGGCAGGGGGCAACTCCCGGTCCCCAGGTCCATGGGGACACCTCCCAATGGTCCCTGATGGCCTCTCACCAGCCCGTGCTGTTCTGGGACAAGGGGAGCTTTCTGTGCAGGATGGGACAGGGGAATACAGGATCTGGGTTGCTTCCATCTCAGAGGCGTTGAGGGTCCCACAGGGTCTCCCCTCCCCTAACGGAGAAATCCATGGGGTCCCCTGGCTGAGTCTCCACGTGCAGATGCTCCAGCTCCTGGGCCCTGTGGGGAGGCTTAGAGCAGATGACAGACAGGGACACAGATGACATGGGTGCTCTGGAGTATGATGGGGGAATCACAGGGTGATGTGTGGACCAGCCCCCCAGGCCAGTTCCCAATCCTGAAAGACTCAAGACCCCTCAGCAGGTCCCTCTTCTGAAACCTCAGAGACAGAGAGCTCCTCCTAAAACAGCACATCCCCCTGGGGGGACAGTTCTCCTGACACTGGACCTGAAATATTCTGGACAACGCCTGTCCTCTTTCTGGGCTAACCCAACACTGGGATAGTCAGGTGGCCTGGGACCTGCAGTGACCAGGACCTGAGGTGACCTGCCCCTCAGCCTGGAGTTCAGAGCCCACCTCTGCCCAGGGCTCAAATTTAGCTCCCACCCTCCGGAGCCTGGTGCAGCCCTGACACTGGCCACAGGTCTCCTCACACCCTCCAAGGGGCAACATTGAGACACACAGACAACAACACACAGGAAATTAACACAGGAACCTGGCTTTGTCAAAGGAGGTGGAGAAAGAGCCTGATTTCCATCCCACAGACTCTCTGGGCCCCTCTCACGTGCCTGCTCTGTCCCTATGCTTCCCCTAGGGGCCTAGGAGCACCTGCTCTCTCAGGGGTCCCTGTATGCCTCCCCACTTCCTGCCTGGCACCACCCATAGGGAAGGCAGGGTGACCCCAGGAAAGTCCCCCAGGCAGAGGACAGAGGCAGCCCCAATGGTCAGGGGGCACATGGACAGGCTCTGAGACAGAGCTCTGCCAACAGACACAGAGAGAGGGTCTCTCTGAAGCGGACCCACGAGAACCAGGGAGCCCACAGCCACTCGACCTCCCACCAGCATCCTCTCTTCCCAAAACACACGGGTCACCTCCCCTTCACACCCAGGAACTGTAGCTCCTTCGGAGACACCTGGTTCTGGGTCTCTGTCCCAGGAATCAGAGGCCAGCCTGGTGACACTGGAGATGGAAGGTGGGTCCCCTCACCAGTCACCACCCAGCTTGCCCCTTTCTCACCCTCGGAGTCATCTCTGTGACCTTCCTGCTGGGAGGAAATCCAACCCTCCCAGAGCATTCGAGAACAGGGGGAGACCCCGGTGCCCAGCTGAGTTTCTGTGTCACGAACAGAAATAATCCTTCGGGTGTGGGGACCTCTTGGATCTCTGTGTGGTGCTGACAAACTCAAGGCCAGGACACAGCACAGGCCAACGGCGAGGTGGATGGGAGGGTCATCCTCTCAGAGGACAGGGGTCCCCATCAGCCTTGTCACAGAAAGTGTGCTCCCAGGCCAGTATGATCAGCCTCCCCTGACAGCTTCTTAGATGTGGACTGTTGGGTCCGCTGCACATCTTGAGTCAGAATCTCTTTATTAACAGAATCTGCAGACTCTCCCTGTGCACGGGAGAGGAGATGGCCTGTCACACCCCACATCCTGTGTCTCAGCCTGGCCAGGCACCGGCATTAGTTGGGCAGCTGCTGAAGCAGCATTTAAGGTATCACCTGGGCACGATATCTTTATAAAGTTCCACAGGTGATTTTCATGGACAGCAAAGGTGACATCCTTTGGACAAGAGTTCCGATGTGGCCCCCAGGGCTCCTGCTCTAAAGGTGACAGCAAGGAAAGATGAGGAAGGGCAGCGGGGGGGATGCTGTGCACCCACCGCAAGCCTCAGTCTTGTGCTCATCCAGACAGTGTGTGTGTCTGTGAGTTGTGTGTGTGTGTGTGTGTGTGTGTGTGTTGAGGGTGAGGAGTCACAGCAGAAGAAGGCAGAAGCCTCAGCAGTTTCAGGAAACAGAAATGTAGACAGAAGCTAAACGGGAAGGAGGGGCAGAAGAGGCAGGTTGTGGCCATAGACCCCTCCCCCGCACATGTGACCAGGGACATGCTCCTGCCTGGGAGGAGGCCCAGGGCAGCAGAAGAGGAACAGCAGAGCAGGCGCCTTGAAACAGAGGTGCCTGTGAGCGTTTCTGGAGCCCAACTGTTCTCCCACAGGGACAGACAGAGCAGACAGCAGTCACCATGGAGCCCCCCTCAGCTTCTGCCCCCAGATGGTGTGTCCCCTGGATGGGCATCCTGCTGGCAGGTGAGGGGGGTCAGTTCCCTGGGGGTGGACAGGAGACTGGGAGACAGAGACTGGCTGGGGTCTCCTGGGGAGGATAAGGCTCTGAGAGGGGACAGAGGGCTTCTGTTTGGACCTGAGGGGAGAGGACAGGGGAGAGAGTAGGATGGGGGAGGGGGCCAGCAACAGGGAACCCTCATAAACTTGAAGGGCCAGGAAAACCTCAGCCAGGGTAAGTTTGACAAGTTATTCATTGCTGAGCAGTAATTTTTTAAAACTGGTGGTAATGAGAACAATTTATGTCCGGGCAACACCAGCAAAAGCTTCACCAGGGGCTCTACACATTGTCCTTACCACCAGCCTCAGAAAGGGACAGATACTCACCAGGAGGTGGAGGGCCCTGGGAACACGTTTGTTCACCCACAGGTGTTTGCAGCCTGTTGCAGGCACTCAGGGTGCAACGAGATCAGACAAGCCCCTGCCCTCACTGAGCTCATATTCCATGGTAAAGAGACAGACAAAGAAAGGTCTAGAATATGATGTCAGGTACTGACAAGTGTCATGAAGGGAACAGGGCAGGGAAAGGTCCAAAGGTGAAGATGGAAGGACTTTAAAGGAGGCGGTCAGAGAAGGTGTCTCCCACAGACACCCCTGAGATGCAGCAGGAGTCTGAGGGCAGTAAGGGCGTGAGCCAGGCAGACACCTGGGGAAGAGTTAACAGAGAAAGTAACAGGTTCAGACGTGCTGAAGTGATGGAGGTCATGCTGCTGACTTTGACCATAGAAGACTCCCACACTCTCTCTCTCCCTCCACACACCCAAACTTCAAGTCCAAGAGGTGAAGAGAACTTCTCATTCACCAGGGCCTCATCTTTCCATTCCAATGCATAGATCCAAATATTGATCAATTTCTCTCTTCCCTCCTAGTCTCACTCTTAACCTCCTGGAACCCACTCGCCACTGCCAAACTCTCTATCGTGCTGACCCACGCTGCCGAAGGGAAGAATGCGCTTCTCCCTGTCCGCAATCTGCCTGAGGGTCTTGTAGGCTATGCCTGGTACAAAGGAAGACATGTGAACAGCAACCATCAAATTGCATCATATGTAATAGAACGTCAAGAAAACACTCCTGGGCCTGCACACAGCGGTCGAGAGATAATACACCCCAATGGATCCCTGCTGATCCACAAGGTCACCCTGGAGGACACAGGATACTACACCCTACAAATCATAAAGAAAACTTTTCATAATGAAGAAGTAACTGGACGGCTCCACGTATACCGTGAGTGATTCCTCTCCGTCCTCTGGGTGTCGGGTGGGGAATTCTACTTCATACATCCAGGATTGGCAGCCCTGGACTCTGCCTCCATCCCCGCTGCATTGCGTCCCATGATGTGCACACAGGCCTCATTTCTTAAAAGACTCAGGTTGGCTGACAGGTGAGAGGTGCCAACTCTGACTGAGACGCCTTTGGAGGAATCAAAGGTCCCACACAGGGCAATGTTCTCTGTCATCTGCACAGCAGAGCTACCCACGCCCAACGTCACAAGTGGCAACTCTGACTCCGAGAGTTTTGATTTGCATTTTCCTAATGATAGTGACGTTGAGCATCTTTTCATGTGCTTATTGGCCATTTGTATATTTTCTCTGGAGGAAGGGCTTGACGGTTTTTCCATCAGGTTATTTGGTTTTGTTGTTCTTGAGTTATAGGAGTTCCTTTTATATTCTGGATAGTAACCCCTCACACAATATGTGATTTGCAAATTATTTTCCCTCATTTCCTAGATCACCTTTGACTCTATTCATTGTGTCTTTGGATGAACAGAAGTTTTCATTTGGACGAAGTCCAATTTATCTTTTTTTCTATCGCCCATGTTCTTAGGGTCATATTAAAGAAATCATTGCCAAGTCCAATGTCATGAAGCTTCTAAGAGTTTTACAGTTTCAAGTCTAACCTCTGGGATTAGATCATTTGGAGGTAACTTCTGTTCATGGTGTAAGGCAACGGTCCACTTATTTGTTTGCTGGTGGATATTGCTGCTCCTCACCATTTGTTGAACAGACTGCTCTTTCTCCATCGAATGGTCTTGGCTTCTTTGTCAAAATCATTTGATCACGTAATCAAGGCTTTATTTCTGCATCTCCACTGTATTCCATGGGCTATATGTCTGTCTTTATGCCATTGTCACATTTAGTTCCTTTAGCTCTGTGGTAACTTCTGAAATCAGGAAATGTGAGACCTCAAAGTTCATTCTCTTTTCTAAGATTGTCACAATCATTTGGGTCCCTTGAGGCTCCACATAATTCTAAGATAGATTTTCCTATTTCTGCACAAAAAAGTCATTGAGATTTTGACAGGGATTGTACCAAATATGTCAATAGTTTGGGGTATACTGACATCTATCTTGGCAATATTATTTCCAACTTATGAACATGGATGTCTTTCCATTAATTTATTTCTTCTGTAATTTCAGAAACGTTTGATAGTTTTCAATGTATGCAGCTTACATCTCCAGGTTAAATTTATTCTTAAGTATTCTATTTTTTCTGATGTTAACGTAAATGAAATTATTCTCTTAATTCTATCTTGGAATGTTTATTGTTATTGTAAAGAAATGGAACTGATATTGAGTATTTCCTCTCCTGCGGCTTCACTAAATTTATTAATTTTAACATTTTTTTTGTTTGTAGGTGTAACCTTTAGAATTTTCTACGTGTAAGATTTGGCTGTCTGATAAAAGAGACCATTTTTCTTCTCCCTTTCCAATTTGTATGTCTTTTATTTCATCTTCTTGCCTAATTGTCTTGGCCAGGGTTTCCGTATTATCTTGAGTAAGTGGTAAAAGCAGCATCCTTGTCTTGTTCATGGTCTTAGTAAAGGTTTTGTGTTTCTCCATGGAGTATTATGTTAGCAGTGAGATTTCACATATGGCTTTCACCATATCGAGTAGTTTCCTTCTATTTCCACAGTCCCTGTCATTTGTTACAACCGTAACCACTTCTCTCTGGAGATGTCCTTCACAGTGAAACTCACTCCACAGGCCAGAAAGTAGAATCCTGTTCAGACTGTGAAATCCTTCAGATGGAACCTCTCCACGTCCAACGTCATGGAGACTGGGTTGGGCTGTCTTTAGTGCTTAATAAATTATTTAACAGGAGCTAAGTGCCTCCCCACCTTCTGTAAAGCACTGTTGGCCCCAGAGAAGGACAGGGCTGGTAAGCTTGCCTTCCCCAACATACACGGAAGTTCACATGAGGAATAGAACCTGATTTTTTTTTTAAGTCAAAGAGATGTCTAGGAATAGATCAGTAAATGATCACAAGAAAAAAATTCCACCTGATGATGAGGATGCTGGACACGAGGGCTGAGAAAGGATTCCCAGTGGTGATACAGGAGTGATGTCCAGGAGGACAGGTCAAGGTCACCCTGGGGTGGTCTGCAGTCAGAGAGGAGGTACAGCCCTCTTCGTATAGGTTGTCACCTGAACGACACCTGTCCTTCTGCAGAGGCCAGGGCCGTCCTCTGGTGACCTTGAAAGAGCTCACTGTGGACTGTGAGCCCCCAGGTACCAGATCCACTCTCAGTCAGTCACCTCTTCTGTTTCTCCACAGAGACAATGGTAAAGCCCTCCATCTGAGCCAGCAATGCCACAGTCACGGGACACAAGGACACCTTGTTTCCGATCAGCCTCCCAGATGACAGTGGGATCGCCATCCAGTGGTTCCTCAGTGCCCAGCATCTGTGGCTCAGGGAGGGGATGCAGCTGTCCCGGACAACAGCACCCTCACCTTGGTCCCGTCAGGAGGGGGGCCCTGGGGTCATCACTGTGAGGTCTCCAACCCCATCAGTTCCAAAGAAAGTGAGCCCCACAGGCTGGATGTGAACTATGAGTGGTCCTCTTCCCGTTCTCTATGTTATTAAACTCTGAATCAATTGTCTACTTATCTAAAAATGCTGGTTATGAAGCACTGTTTTATAATTTTGTTGTGAATAAACAATGATGATAGAAAGTCCTTACAGCTCTTGCATTGAGTCAATAAGTGACCAAAAATGTGAACTGACACTGTCATTATTGTTGGCTTAAGGTCACATTTCACCTCTGGTTGCTATCAGTTATGTCAACTCCATCATGGAGGTGACACCAAGTCCCTCAGAGGAGAGACAGTGGTTATGCGATGAGGGCTGGGAGCACATGATAAGCTCACAGGAATCACAGCTCTATCCCTCCTCCAGGGGGACGTCCTGGACGCTGATCTGGACAATTGGAATGGACAGGAGGACACACATGCAGGTGGTAACACCAACACAAAATGCACTTGACACAAAGCAATCTGTCCACATCATCCTGGTCAGAGCCAGGAGGAAATGGGTTTGGAGGACCTGGGTCTCAAGTTGAGACCCTGGGTCAGGGGCCAACCCAGACTGAAGAAACAGTCTCAAGAGAGTTCCACCCACATCTATGACTCCATCCCATCTCAGCCCACATGAGCAGAACCTCCTGAAGGGTAATGTGTGACTCAGGGACACGAGTCTTCTATGGAGAGGGGGACCCCTTAGCTGAGACTCAATGATAGAGGGGCATATGCAGGACAAGATCTCTCTTCACTTGAGATTCCACGATCGTGCTAGAAAGATGTACACAGAGACACCTGCTCATGTGAAACACTAGCCCGGGATGAACCATGCTATGCTAGAGGTGAACCCCCAAATCCTGGGGCATTTCACACCATCCATGCCTGCACCAACCCCCGCAGGCTTTGTCCTCTTAGGCCAGGAATGTTGCAATTCCCAGCCTCCAGGGACTGTCACCCCACTAAGTCACAGGGATTCCTGGACACCCAGATGTCCCTAAAGAGGGGGCTACAGTTTGGCCATGTGGGGTCTGCATTCATTCTCCCCTCAAACTCCTCAGGGTCCTGGGGGCCCTCCTTTTGGATCTTTCTATCTCCAGGGGTACTGGAGACTGTGCAGCCTGAATTCCAATTAGGAAGAAGCTGCCCCTACACTCCTCCTGACTCTATGTGGACAGCTGAGCACAGGTGGGCACAGAGTGCACACTCCAGGGGGCACCCTCACCTACAATACAGCACCCAGTGCCTATGGGACGATCAGCACTAGCCTGGCCAGTGCTGCTGACCCTCTATCCTCTCACCACTCGTCATCATGAGGGGTTCAATCCCCTCTTTCTGTACCTGTCCACAAGGAGCATGTGACCCACCTCAGCATCCCCAGCCTCGGTGCAGGGGTGGGGGCTGCCCCACAGACCTGCTAAGGGGCCTCATCCAAAGAAGAGACAGGACTGGCGACCCAGGAGAGGAGCCCCCAATGTTCCCACCCAGGCAGGGAACTGGTCAGCAGCATGCAGGGCCTCTCCCGGGGCTGAGCTCTCACCCTGTCCTCAGGCCGCCCCGGAGAGGACCAGGAGTCTGACCACATCTTTGAGGTGGGCTCTGGGGAGGACACCTGAGTATAAGTGGCTGTGATGTGAGGAGGTGGCTATAAAATGTGTTCAGTGGGATGGAGGTGCCAGTAGAGAGAAGCCTGGGGACAGAGCAAGATCTGATCTGAAGAATGCACAGGAGCAGAGAAGGGAGGAGTGAGCAGAAAACTGCCCTCCTCATTTTCGAGGACGATAGGAACAGTGCTCTGAGGGAAGTGGCTACATGGGGTCCATCGGGGGCCCTGTCGGGTCTCTCCCCGAAGGGCATCTCCTGGGTCATTGTTCAAGAGGAGGTGCCATTGCCCCAGCCTGGCCCTGTGAGACTGACTGTACCCTGCTTGCCCTTCTCAGGCCACTTCCTCTGTCCCTCTCCAGCCCTGGAATCACCAGGCCCCTGTATAATGGAAATTTGTAGGCATGTGTCCCTGAGACATGTGTCTGAGACACACATCAGAAAATGTCCCTCATCTCTAGGACTGGAAGAGGGGGTAAGGGAGTTCCCCCATGTTTTACAACAGGTGCCGACCCCAGGTTAGACAACTACTGCCCCCAGTCCATCTGCAGAGGGTCCTTCCCCATCCTAGTTGCCCTAGAGCACAGTGAGATCCACAGGGCCCAGGCCCTCCTAGAAGCGCTCATACTGGACAGATGCTTGCCCAAGGTACCCGATTTCTGTGCATGGGAGAACGGGCCGTGCAGTACTGCCTGTGTCTTTTAAATCTTTGGTTCTTGATTAAAAATAAAATTCTACCAAAAGTTATGGGGGCGTGCTCATATGGTGCCCCCAGGAATATCATGACCTAAATGCTCATACTACAAAAGGGTGATTAAAAATGAGTTAATCATCCTACTATAAAGTTGGAGAAAAAGAGAGAGAAGAAGAAAAAAGTTCATTTTAAAGTAGAAAACAATAAACTAGAAGATAAATATAAAATCAAGAAGATCCACACACCCAAAATTACTTTCTTGAAAAGGTTTATCATTTTTTTTAACACCTCTGGAAAAACGTGTCAACAAAATAATAGAAAAATCACAAATAAGGCATATGAACAGTGGGAAAGCTACAGCAGAAACTGAAAATTCTTTTAAAATCTTCAGGACAATACAGTTGGTAATTTAGACAAAATTGAAAACATTCCTAGAAAATTAGAAATAACAAACACTAACTCAAGAAGAAATAGGAAACCTGACCTGTACCATAAGCATTAAAGAAAATTAGTTAACAGTTAAAATATTTTCACACAAATGCCCACTCATAGCCATGTGCTCTTACACATATACATAAGTGCCACATGTATGTATACTCATAAAATAACACAGATGGCCTTAAAATATATGTAAATATTTCCATGGAGAAAAATATGAATCTTGGCTCTAACTCAGACCATACAATAATCTTTTAAAAATTGACAAAAAACTGGGGCTTCATGTCAAGATAGCAGAGTAGGTAAAAACTATGCTTGCCTCCACTCACAACCATATCAAAATTACAACTAAACTACATAATAGTCATCACTGAAAGTCACCTGAAGCCTTGCTAAACAGAAGTCCGACACTGAACTCATGCAGCAGAGGGCCACTTCAAGACTGGTAGGAGGGGCAGAGATGTGAAATGGGCTGGTCCAACACTTGCATGAGGCAATTGAGAATCAGGAGAAATATCTTGGTTGTGGAGGTCTCCCGGAAAAAACGAAATGCCCCGGCTCCACACCAGGGTCCCCAGCCCAGGGATCCAGGGCCTGGAAGAGAAGTTCTCACAACTCTGCCTGTGAAAACCAGTGGAGATTGTGGCTAAGTGGGACAGAGGGCTGAGGGAGTCGCAGACTTATCCTCCAAGGGGACCCATGTGGATTTACTCCATGACAAACTCACTGGCTCTGAGCTCCAGCGCTGGAGCATCAGCTTGAGAGGCACCAGGGACATGGGGAGGAACTGAGTTGTCTGGCTTCAGGGCAAGGGCTAAAGGGGCAGATTTCTCCCTACAGAAGGGCTGGCACTATTCATTGTTACTTTGTTGAGCCCTTCCCTGCCGGGCCTGCAGACCCAGGTGGGCACCATATCTGAGTCTCCATAAACATAACTAACACTGGCCACCCGCCCTGGTGATTCCCTAAGACCCTGCCCCTCCCATCTTATGGAACCACCTAAGCCACTTTCAGTGAATTTTCCATACAAATGGCCTGTCTTGGCTCATGCTGAAAACTTTCCTAAAATCTCTCAAAGGTTCACAAACCCCAAACAAGCAGCATACGGCCTCACAGTGCCCCATACCTTTTGCTGAGCAGCCCCAATCTTGGCACTAGAGGCAGCCAGCCTCAGTTTGAGGCTTGGCCTCTCGAAACTCTTCCAAGCCCAGCATGGTGGTAGCCATCTGTGGATTCTTCAGTGGCTCAAGTCAGGTAGTCCCGGGCAAGCACAGGTGGCAACTGAATGTGGGCTTCATCAGGGCCCCTCCCTGTGGGCCCTGGTCTGTACACCCTGTGGGTAACCACGGTCTAAGCCAAAGCACTACCTGGGGTTACATCTGAAGATGACACACCCAAAGGGCAGACAGAGCGGGAACCAGAGTCCTGCTGACTCTGTAGGGTCAGATCCCGCACAATGGCTCCTCCCCTGGTCATGACCATGCATCACAACCAATCAGCCAGAGAGTCATCCCTCCCATTGATGATCAAAGAGCAGCCAAGGCTCATCTGCAATAGGAGGGTACACATGAGCCACACAATGGACGTACCTGGAAGACCCAGCTCAAGTGACCAGGGAAGGCTGTGCCACTGGGCTCCACAGCACACCTACTACATAACACCACTCTACTAAGACCAGGAGACATAGCAGCTCTACGTAACACATGGAAGCAAACACAAGTAGGCAGCCAAAAAGGGAAGACAAAGAAACATGTCCCGAACAAAAGAACAGAACAAAACTCAAAAAAAAAAAAAACTAAAAAAAGGAAGACAAGCAATCTGCCAGATGCAGAGTTCAAAACACTTGTTATAAGGATGCTCAATGAACTTCGAAGAAGAGTAGAGAAACATAGTAAGAACTTTAACAAAGAGATAGAAAACATAAAAGTGGAGATAGAAAACATAAAAATTTACCACTCAATAATGAAGAATACAATAACTGAAATGAAGACTATCTTAAGAGGAATTAACAGTAGAGTAGATAAAGTAGAGGATCAAATCAGCGATTTAGAAGATAAGGTAGCAGAAAACAATTAAAACAAATACAAAAAAAATAATTTTTAAAAATGAGGATAATATAAGAGGCCTAACAGACATATGGAAAGATGCTCAAGGTCACTAGTCATCAGAGAAATGCAAA